TACTCGCCTGGTTAATCTGAGTAGAATCGGCAGAGGTATGAATGTAAGAAGAAATACGCCGTTGTTGAGTTTCAATTCCTGGGGGGTCCTGTTGGGGTCGTGGTGACCCATTAAGCGAATTATCCTGTTGTTCACTAATTGTTCCCTTTGTCGTATTTCTACCTTGTTTTTGGTGCATTTCGACGTGTACCATCGGCCTTAGGAGGCCCAGGGTTGCTCTCAATGTCTCCACAAATGAGAAGAAACGTTAGTAAACACGTGGCAATTCTCAAAGATAATTTCCATCTTTTAATTCCAAATGGTAATAGCAAGATATTTAAACGGTTCGCACACTTCTTAGGTTGTACAAAACAACCAATTCGAACTCTCCATAACTCAATTGAAATTCCCATTTTGCATATAAATTAATAATTTTCGGCAGAGAGGAAAACACGTGTCGCCATTAGCAAGGGACGCAACTATATAGTGAATTAGTATTGTGTATGGAAGTCAAAGTACTACTTTGTTGACATTTTGCTACCTTTACAGCACATATCTGCATGTTTAGCGCTTCTTTTCTCCAGTTGTATAACATATAACATGCTCTTAATCCATTATTTAAACATTCTTAAACACATGTTTGATATTTCTAAAGACTAGCAACAAAAATGAATTTCTAAGGCATAATGTGCCTTTAAGCACACAAAAATGACATTTTTATTTCCCAAAAGCTTTTTTATTTTTGATGTTTTCTTACAAGTTCAAAAAATACACATTGGCCATATATACATTTTATTGTATGGAATAAGTAAAATTACCATTTTGTTTACTTTTGTTTCCAACCTTTACATGTATATCATATCAAATTATTTCACATTCAACGCTACACGCATCTTACATACTTTAAAACCATTATTCAAACATTATTTTGGACACATACGACCTTCAAAAGAAATCCTTTGTGTTATACGACACCCTTAATTATAGCCTTGTAAACGGATAAGTTATTCCTTTGTTACCATATACAGGTCTTATTTTGAAACTATGATAAATAGAATATTATATGTCTGTACATTCATGACTAAGTTCACTGTACTCGTTGAATAAAATAACGTTGTGCTCGCCAAAGGTTTGCATATAAATCTTTTATTCAACTGATTTAATAATTTCAGTACTTAAATTATTCAATATCCTCTCTTTATAAAACAAATAAACAAATAAACAGTAAACAATGAGACAGAATATGCTTATCGTTTGGTTTTTGTATTTTCTGATAGCAGATCAGTAAAAACAAAGCTAACATCCACGGTCTAACACAAAATTTTCCTAACAGACCTAACAACGCAAATTAGTTCTCACTCAAAACTGCTTAAAAACCAGCAATTTAAAAGAAAGAACAATTTTTTGTTACAAGTGTCCAACAAATTACTACACATTCAAACTTTAAAAGTAGCGTTGGCGCTAGAATTGTCAATAAATGCACACTCCCAAATTACGCGGATGAATATGATTTTAATCAATGAAAATGCTATTTTAGCGATGTCGATTACCGAATACTACACAAATAATTCTGACTGCCGAGTAGTTGAATAAATAGTTTCTACATGTTGGACTGTTTGGGCGAGAAGAGTTTTGCTAAAATATTTACTTCAATTTTAAACAACAGGTTAACCCTGAACAAAATACCTCGAAATTACCCTAACCCGAAATGCAATGGAAATTCTAAATTTAGAATGACTTGATTTTATTCAGCCTTTGCTGCTTTAAAAACCCGAAATGCAATGGAAATTCTAAATTTAGAATGACTTGATTTTATTCAGCCCTTTATTTTAAAACATCTTCGTGGTGCAGGGGTAACGCGTTCGTTTAGTGTGTGTGAGGTCTGGAGTTCAAATCCCAGTCGAGTCCACATTTTTTTATTACTTTTTTTAGTGTCTTTGTTAAGAAAAATAGCCACGATATGCAAGGATAAAGTGTGGCTATCATAAAAAATGAACATAAATGATTTTTTGATGCAACTCTAGTTATGCAAAATTCCGTATGTATCAAACTCTGGTGCCCTGCAAGATGAATTATAGAACATAAAAATAAACTTATACAGGAAAACACATACAGATATACAGTACGATTTAGATTGCAAAGATCAGAAAATACCACAGAGCTTGCAGCCCTTTGATTAATTAAAGGTCTTACTTTCACTTTCATAAGGGGTACCGTGTCCTGGTGAATTTACGATTGATATATAGAGTACGTGTCAAACCTCTGTTAAACACAATCTCCGAATAAAGATCACTCCGCGAATAAAGACCACTCTCCGATAAATTAACCTTTATTGATAATATAGATATAAATTACCTGCAAATAAAAAAAAGATTTTATTAACCTCAAAGTAAAGGCCTCTTGTCTTTCAAGGCCATGTTCAGTCTCTTATTTTAATGGCCTTTATTCACAGGTTTGACTATAGTTCTTTTTCCCCCCGTAAAACACCGAAACTTAAAGCGATAATTATAAACCATACAAGAAATGGCGTTGGCACTAATCAAACAGTTTCATATTACATGTGCTTCAATATAATACAAAGATTCACGGATAAAATGGTCCCACGCTCTGATAATCAGATTCTACATTATAAAAAAATGTTTTAGATGTTTTAACGATTAAGCAATGACTACGTCTTAGCTAATAAAAGGGTACATACATACGATATACATACTATACGGTAACAGAATTAATTGTGATAGGTTCATCTAACACGGATTCGGTCGTTCCTTTTTCTAGCAAAATTGTGGTTAGAAAATTCAATTACTGTTACCGAGGTTATTATTTAAACCAATAGCCAAAGATGTATATATTATCTTTTGTTAAAGTACGACAAGGTTTGACATTATTATATTAATTTAGTCAGGGTCTTTCAATTATAATCGAGGCGTCTGTGGCCGAGTAGTTAAGAACGTTGAATTAAAACCGCTTGCCCCTCACAACTGTGGGTTCATAACCCGACAGGAAATTTGAATTCTTTCGTTTGAGGAAGCTATCCAGCTAGCTTACGGAACGTCAATGGTTCTACTCAGGTGCCTGAAATAATGCACGCAAGGGCACCTGCGATCTTCCTCCACCAGTTAAGCTGGAACGTCGCCATATGACCAATAGTGTGCCGGTGTGAGGTAAAATCCAATCAAAACAAATAAATTGAAATAGATATTACAACGCATATCGTAAAACGTCGATACCAAGACCTAGTATAGTGTATGGAACGTTCGTTGCCAAAACTCCAGCCTTGTTGATCTGAGTTGAACAGTTTGTTTACAGACAAAATACATTTGTATTTATTTGTATGTAAACTCCAATGTTGTATTCTTGGATTGAGTTTGCCGATTTAATATTGTAAACCTGTATTTCAACAAAATTAATTTTGTTAAACGACAAAATATCAACTGCTTTTACCAATTGTTCACCATAACATGCGCAATACTCATTGTTCGTGTATACGCCGACAAAACAGGAGTTACTTTCTTAGCTTTACATTGTCAAACCATCATCATTCGGATCAGCGTAATCAGATAAAATAAGCTCCGCCCATTTTCCCGCCCACTACATCATCGTAAATAAACGTATTTATCTGCTCATTTTTGGTATTTACCGTCAGCGACGCGTAGTTTCCGTTTTCCACACCTTTGAGGTGTTTAGTTATTCACCAAACATAATTAATTTGCATGAGTGCCATTCTATGCCTTTGTTCAATCAACATCAGCGGACTTTAAATGATTATAGGCACATAAGTTTTGAAAGGTTGTAGATACCACATTTCCTAGAAAAAGAAACTAAAAAAACTCACCAGGTTACTTACTGCCTGAGGTTAAATATTTTTAAAGGAAGAAAAAACTATTGATAAGACTATATCCAAGACAAATAAATTTTACTGAAGGGATTCCAATTTGCATATAAATGAGTAACATTGACAGTTATGCTGCTACCTTACCACTTTCGGATTTTCATATCAACATCTGACAGAGATTTTGATACGACTTAATACTAATACAGACCAAATTATGGCTAGAAGTAGCATTTTAACTATTACATTAGTAACCTTAATTCTAGCGTATGACTTGACAAGAAAGAAAACTTTTAACAATAGTAAAATTAAAACCAAAGTTGTATGTACCCTTTCGTACTTTTTTATCTTTACCATACTTTACAGATATATTTTCCCATTTTTTTTTCAAAAATAATATTTAAATCAGTCCAAAGGTATGTATGTTTATTATCAATTTATGTATACCTTGTTTATTTCAGCTCTAAGAAAGTCATCACTTGCAAAACTTAATAAATATTCTGTTTAGTATTTCATGTACATAAAAATAGTTCAGATCGACAGCAAATCTAGGTAACAGCTATTGTCATCATGTATACACAGATTTAAGAATGTGTTAAATTATATCTTAACCAATTTTGCATTACTTGAATATCCTGTACTAGAATACGTTTTAACAAAATCAGAGGCTATTCAAAGTCAACTGTCATGCAGTTGATGTATGTGAAATTTATAACAGTTTTATATTATTTGAAATATTTTTGTACTAGTAGCAAGAGCTACCTTTCTGTATACTTTGCTTTCGTGAAAATTGGCTTCGCCTATTAATGTTCGTCTATTTCGTTGATAATTCCATATATGGAAGTTGCAAAATCGTTCACAAATGTTAATTGCGTTAGAATGTATATAACGGTAAGTGTGATGTTTCTACATGTCGCAAATTTGAAGTTACATTTTGTAAATACACTTTGCTATTTATCTAAATTGCATGTTAACAGCTTCCATTTTATCAAATCGAGATGATCAAAATGCTTAATACCAGTGCAGTATGTAACTCTCGGACCGACGATTCAATTTTTACTTATCTGTTTAGTAGAATCGAAGTATGCATGGCTGGATTTTTGGCAACGAATAGCCTCCATATAGTGACAGGCTATTCATATTTTGAAAGGCACGTTTGGATACTAATCTTTCATTGGATATATTGTAACCTTGAAGTTAAATTTGTTGTATTAGCACAGACGATACTTTAGTCGCCGTTTAAACGTGCAATATTTGTGAATCAATATGTTAGGAATACGTTTAACTAAACTAAAAGGATTTATCCTGGTTTGTGTTTTATTTTGATGATTGTTAAACTATGTAAATTGCATATGGTTTGTTCTGATATTTGTTCTGTATTCGTGTAGATAATAGCAAAATAATGCTTAAAGATATACTATGCTCATTCTTGATTAAAATATCTTAATCACAAAAATTATTGAAATCTATGAAATTCTCATTGAACATGTCTAATTTGAATAAGAGAATAAGTAAACTATGTATGGGAAACTGCGGATAAGTAAAGCTGGCCTTTTCTTTAAAAAAAGAGCTAATTTTATATGACACTATATATTCATATTGTGACTACCACCTATAAGGTATAACATTTTAAATATAACATTTGATACTTTGTGTGAAGTCATTACGTTTATTTTACGTTAACAAAGAGACTGTGTAGCAATTATCAATATTTTCTTATGTCAGATTTGGGCATGGTATATCTTTAAAGCTCTATCCTTGTTTCACTAACAATAATGTTTCTTTATTGTTATGTAGCCACCCTTTCTTGAACATCATCAAATTGACTATGAAATTTTTAACAGAAAAAAATGGGGCGAGCGAGCGACAATTGTTAATAATTAATACTTTAAAATCAATAATTATGATATGCGAGCGAGCGAGCAAAACGAACTAATTGTTTTCCTGAAGAGCCGAAAGAACAAAAAAACACCGGATTAAGTTTATGTTTCTGTCATGGTTGGAGTATCATTTCATTACAATTTTGAAACGTTCCCGTATTAAGGAGATAGGGGCATCTATTATGTTTTACATAACCGTAACAAATCTATATATTTCAAATGGACTTGTCCATATTTCAGTCTGGTTGAAACCATTCTTCATTCATTACCCAACAGTGCAGACTATGATTAGTCAACATGGGCATGCCAGCTGTCAAGGTCAAGGTCTGCACTGGTTGCATGGGCAGAATCTGTTTCCGCCAGCAGTCAAGTAAAAAACACTGAAGCAATTTTTAAAAATAATGGTGATCCCCATACCTGGTCCAGGATATTTTATCACATGGGTTCACAAAATTTCGACAAGGGTTAATGTATCTCCAAAGAGGGATTTAGTGTTCTATTTTTTCAGATCAAGAGTCTCATGTTTGCATAATTTCTACGAAAATCTAAATTTTGATATCAAAAACGTTATGTTATGTAATATAATATCGTAAACATGTATACTTATTTACAGTACGGCTTTCTGATTTAACAGTCAAAGAAATCAAATACTAGTGGATAATGGTTAATTTTTTTGATTCATTCATCCGACTGACACTCAATAATCAAAGTAATTATAGATAGACTCGTATTAAAAATATAAAAGGATAATAATACAATCGAATATTGTTTGATAGTAATAGGTAATTTGTTCCAAACGTCAATACTGAAATAAGAAAAAGAACCCTTTAAATAATTTAGTATGAGGTTTACTTTTCAGAACAAGATCCTTATGAATTATTTATCGCATGGTTCGGAACTTTTCCTTTGCTCTTACTAGCCCATTATACTCAGTACACTTCAATGGGCATTTGAAAACTGTATTGATATATAACAGTACAGTTTTTTCATTGATTCATGCAGGAAAAAAACTCGACTGTTATATATCGGTTGAGTTTTTTTCGCACCTGTTATATATCAATGCAGTTTTTTTCACAGAGGCTCCAATGGGGCAGTGGTAACGAACATTCCCAGTAGCAAAAAAAAAATGGAATCAATAGAATAAAATAAAATAAATAAATAAATAAATACAATGAAAAATATAAACAAAGATAATTAATTAAATGAAATTTACTCTCATTAAATCAAAAAGGTACATCCACTGAATGAATTATGTCCACTGAAGAAAGTCCTTTAATTAAAATGAATCTATATTGGTAACAGTTTACAATTCGCCTAAACATTGGATGGCTCTTGTATATTTTTTTGCGGCAGCGAAAACTACTTGAAAAAACTGCCTTATCATGAATCACTGTAGTGTAGCTAACGATTTATTTATTTATTTATTTTACTAAAAAAGAAAACATTATGCCATTGCGATAAAACAGTTATAGTATATGAAACTCGTTAGTAACGGGGGTTTAACACTGGCTGGGGCGACATCTCGGGATGTTTCTGCAAAAAGAAATTTGTCTCGGCCTACCGGCCTCGACAATTTTTTAGCAGAAACAACCTTGATGTCGCCCCAGCCAGTGTTATGTCCTCGTAACTAACTCGTTTCATGTACTATAACTATTACGTAATTCATTGTGAGAGAAACTAAAAATTTCACTCATACACAATGGTTTAAAATTATTTAAAAGATGTATTGCTGTGTGGTATTTCATCCTAAAATTGAATTTCAGCCATTTAAGTTTATTAAAAAGAACTATTGTTGGTGAACGTATCGGCCTATTGAGTATAATTTTTGCAGCTCTTTTTTGGATTGATTTTACTTTATTGATGTATGAGTTTGTGTCCTTTCCCCATACCGTTCAACAATAATCAGGCACAGGAAGGATGTACACATTGACATATATCTTTTTTTTTAATTCGTCAGTAAGGTAAAAAATGAAATGTTTGAATGGGGTAATTTTCGCAATAAGTTTTTACTCTTTTTTAAAGAACAAATCATGCATTTTGATTTTATGGTATGGAACGCCTTGACTTTCTTATGTGATCAATGTATTTGCTATCTTGTGAAACGATGATATTATTTATTTCGTTTGAGCATGTTAACATATGCAATTCACATCATGTCTTGTCAAAGGATCATGCTGACTTGTGCAAATAACATATTAACTTGTCAAAATATGAAATGACTTGTGCAAATGACATATGAGCTTGAAAAAATATAATGATGACTTGTGCAGACGACTTGTTGACTTGTCAAAGTATCGTGATGACTTGTGCAAATAACATATTAACTTGTCAAAATATATAATGACTTGTGGAAATGGCATGTTAATTTGTCAAAATATAATGATGACTTGTGCAGACGACATGTTGACTTGTCAAAGTATTGTGATGAAATGTGCAAAAGACATGTTAACTTGTCAAAATGTCATGATGACATGTGCACAAGCATGTTAACTTGTCAAAGTATCGTGATGACTTGTGCAAATAAAAAGTTAACTTGTCAAAGTATCATGATGACAATGTTTACTTGTTAAATTATCATGTGACTTGTGCAGACAACATGTTAATTTGTCAAAGAATCGTGATGACTTGTTAAAACGACATTTTATCTTTTATCATGCTGACATGTCAAAATGTACTATGATCTTGTCAAAGTATTATCATAACTTGTGCAAACACCATGCTTACATGTCAAATTATCATGATAACATGTGCACACAGCATGTTTACTTGTCAAAATATCGTGATGACTTGTGCAAATGACATGTTAACTTGTCAAAATTTCATGATAACATGTGCACACAGCATGTTTACTTGTCAAAATATCGTGATGATTTGTGCAAACGACATGTGAACTTGTCAAAGTATAGTAATGACTTGTGCAAATGACATGTTTACTTGTCAAAATTTCATGATGACATGTGCAAACAGCATGTTAACTTGTTGAATCATCGTGATGACATGTGCAAACAACATGTTAACTTGTCAAAGGATCAAGATGACTTGTGCTGACAACATGTAAAGTTGTCGAATAATCGTGATGACATGTGCAAACAGCATGTTAACTTGTCGAATTATCGTAATGACATGTGTAAACGACATGTTAATTTGTCAAAGTATCGTGATGACTTGTGCAAATGATATGTTTACTTGTCAAAATTTCATGATGACATCGTCATGTGCACAAGAATGTAAACTTGTCAAAGTATCGTGATGACTTGTGCAAACAATAAGTTAACGTGTTTAAGTATCATGATGACTTGTGCAAACACCATGTTTACTTGTCAAATTATCATGATGACTTGTGCAGACAACATGTGAACTTGTCAAAGATTGTTGACGACTTGTTAAAACGAAATTTTATCTTTTAACATGTTTTATATCAAAATGCACTATAATCTTGTCAAATTATTATGATAACTTGTGCAAACAACATGCTAACATGTCAAATTATAATGATGACATGTGGTGCAGACAGCATGTTAACTTGTCAAAGTATCGTTATGACTTGTGCAAATGACATGTTACTTTGTCAAAATTTCATGATAACATGTGCAAACAGCATGTTACTTGTCGAATTATCGTGATGACATGTGCACACAGCATGTTTACTTGTCAAAATATCGTGATGACTTGTGCAAACAGCATGTTAACTTGTCAAAGTGTCGTGATGATTTGTGCAAACAACATGCTAACTTCTCAAAGTATCATGAGCATGTCATGTCGATAATTTGACAAGTAAACATGCTATTTGCCCATGTCATCATGAAATTGTGACAAGTTAATATGTTGTTTGCACGAGTCATCATGAAGCATCGACAAGTTAATATGCCATCTGCACAAGTCATCATGGTAATTAAACAAATTAACATGTTGTCTGCACATATCATCATGATTACTTGACAAGTTAACATGCTATTTGAACAAGTCAGCATGGTGTTTTGACAAGATATAATGTGAATTGCACGTGTTTACATGCTTAAACGACAAAATAGTATCATCATTTCACAAGAAAGCAAAAACATTGATCACATAAGACAGTCACGGCGTTCCATATTATGGGGTGCAAGGACATATTATTATTAAGGAAACTAATACCTGCCTTTTAATTAACGCTCTGTGCATGCATATGTATACGATTTAACTATGACACCTTTACAAAGACGGTAAAGACGTGCAGCAATGTTTTTGACAGCGCTAAAATTAGCTTCATTGATAAGGTTACGTAAAAGTCGAACAGGGAACATAATCCTACTCGCATCGTGGTGTGAATATAATATGGTTTCGGATCACATAAATATGATGACTCATCGTCTTAAAACACATCAAGGCGATATATATTTGTCGCATTTTTTTCACATTAAATGAATAGTATGACAACAAATATGACGACAAAAAGACAAGAATATATATGTTAACTTGAATGATATCGATATAATTGTGTGCATTTCTTTTGATTGAGTTTTTAAACTTTCAAAATAAGTTTTTGATAGCTTGTCACGTAAAAATTGATTTTCTCTTTATGAACATGTAATGAAATCAATGTTTTGCAGAATTGAAAGTTAAAGTTATAACTCAGTTATTAAACAAAATTTAATGTACTAGTATTTAATTGTTTAACATTCATTTGACTCATTGAATAGTATCATTAATTTTATTCTTTTTGAAATTCTGAATTTACATTCGTCTGACTGTAACTCAGATCGAATCTGTGTAAAACTTTAAGTTCTCAAATAGCCTTGTATGTACAAAAATAACGAGGAACTGAAATTCTGTTAGTATAAAAATGTCTAAAATAAGCAAAAAACCAAAAAACAAACAAAAAAAAAAACAAATAGTGAAAATTTCTTTTTAAATTTCTTAAAAGTGTGGTGTACCAGAAGAATAAAAAAAATAATTCTTGTCTGTAAAGGCAATTAATAATATTTATATACAGTTTCAATACTTTAACCTAAAATAAAGGTCTACCTTTATAGTTAATATTTCTTTTACTTGTTTTTTTTTTAAGAAATATATATGGTGTAAAAGGGGAAGCATAACATTAAAAAAATGTACATTAACTACACTTTAAGTATATCACTTTTTAAAATAGGTATTTGTTTAAAATATAATTTTTGTACACTGTATAAAAGTAATATTACTTAAATTATGTAATTTTCTTTTGCACAATTTTACCATAATGTTATCTTGTTTGTCAAATATTGTCATCATGATATTAAAATACTGCAATAGGCTATACTGACCGTGAACTTGAACATTATGCTGAAATTATCCGTCGTTCCAAAAAGTTCCATCTTCATCATGTGAAATCTAGAACACCAGCCCTTCCTACTTTAATCAGAAATACCTTTCACATCCCTAATAAAGATTTGCTGCTGAATATAACACTGGTACTCATTTACCAGCAACTGGTGCATGTGGTAACAGCTATCCCAGTAGGCATTCTTTGTTTAATACAGGTTTGAAAAAAATGGTTTCATGTAACCCTGCTGCCAAATATTCATTTCCTAAACCTTATGTAAATACACACTAATAACAATCCACTTCCTCCACCCCCTGTACCTTCTCCACCCATACAGTATTCTTTATCTCAACCTAATGATATACAGAAACCTGCTCAATTTTCTTCTAAAGTACCTAAGTTGCCCAAGTTTTCTGGTAAGAATCTTAATAATTGTGCATTTAGTTTATAAAGATCTAACATCAACTATTTAATTGAAAATAGGGTGTTTCCTAAACATTTTTTGCTTAAATCCATCAAAACAACCCTCTAAAGGTTATAACCCGTACATTTTTTTAAAATCTTGAAAAGAATGCTTCTGTTCAAAATATTTTGTCTAAATTGAAGGGTACTTATGGTAATGTCTCCAGTGGTAAAAAAAACAAAAAAAGTTTTGTTGTGCTAAGCAACTACCTGCTAAATATATTGTAAATTATAGCCTTAAATAAAAACAGCTTTTGTCCAAGTATAACATAAGGTTTTAACAGTCAACCAAAAATAAAATGTTATGTAATATGTTTTGGTCCGGGTTGTATAACATCTCTAATTAAAAGTGTTTCCAAATACAAGTATAAATAATCCATAATTATGAAGCACTTAGAAAGAAGCTCAAACAGAAAAAACTTAAAATTGAATAAAAAAAGTTCATCTTCTCTCACACTTACAGTAGGTTAGGCCAAGTCCTCCCAGTTTGGTCAATCCTCAAAGGATAAAAAAATATCTAAATGTCAAGGTTAAACCTGCTTCCCTGTTAATGTCATTTGTTAAAAATAAAATTCTTCAACAGTTACAAAATTTAACCAAACAAATACTGCAGCTGATTTCCAGGGTTTGCAATGTTAAAAAAACTTTAAAGTTAAAAAAAAACCAAAACTACCAGGGTAAATACCAAAAAAGAAGCAATTAAGTAATAAAAGTAAAAAGCGGGGTCCAGCAAAAAAAAAAAAAAAAAAAACCTAAGGCTATTAAAAAGTCTGTTTCAAATAAGGTTCCAAAAAACCCCTTTACACCGAAAGTAACCTTTTCAACTAGGCCAACTGATGGTCAGCCATTTTTAAAGGCAAATATATATATTGCACATTTGGCATGTCATGCCAATAAGGTTAAAGTTCTCATTTCTCATAACTAATTCTTCTTCTAATATTTCAAATAACACACCAAAAAGTTCAAATATTCCCAATTATGTAATTCCTAAAAAAAACAAACAAACAAACAAACAAACAAACCAAAAAAACGTCTGCTCTCAATCCCAAAGCTAAAAAGTTGTACTTAATAACCAAAACAACATAGCTGTTGGTAAAGTGTTTTATAACTGCTTTGTAAAAAGTAGTTATACATGTTTAATTTATGTAGTTGTAATTAATTTAAATAACTAGTAAAATATAAAAATGTCTAAACAACATGTATGACTGAGCGGGGAATAATGTCACAGGGTCATTTACCATTATATATATATACCTAACCATTATTATATCGTATATGATATATAGTGCATTTCTAATAAAAACATTCGTCTTGTTCTTCCACTCTTCATCTCATATTTACTCCCATAGGCTCATTATTATTTCTCATATACCACACACTAACTATGGTAACTAAACTATGGTAACGGGCCTCATTTGTTCGCTCATAATTTACAGCCACACATGCGCACGTGAAATTTAAAATACAGTTGTTACTGTAAAAACGTAATTCCTAACTTTGTAATTCTTTTTTTATTATTTTGCTGTCTCTGTGTGTTTTGCAGGTTATTTAATATTATATAAGTGTATTAATATAAGTTCATTCTTCATTCATCGTTTGTTTCATAATTTTAACGGTTTTGTATATTTTTAAAATGCTCTAAAAATTTAAAATACAGTATGTAAATATGTTAAAACGGAACTTCTAACTTTGTAATTCTTTATTTGTTATGTTGCTGTCTCTGTGTGTTTTGCAGTCCCAAACACACACAAAAAAACTTTAAAAAATCCTTCAACCAGTTTAAAGGTAACAAATACTATAAAACTTATGCTGATCTCGTAAAAAAATACAATCAGAAATACGATAAAGAGATAGAAAACATATTCATCATCATAGCTTGCTTAATAAAAGTCTTTATGCACTTGTCTACAGACGCATTATGAAATCTAGCCATGACGTTTCGCTTGAACACTATTGATGACATCCATCTTAAATAAAGCTGAAATTAGAAATAGGAAAGCACAACAAAAGTAGAAGGAAAATATTCCGGCGGGAGGGAAAGGGTGGATTTATAAGTTTTTAAACTTAACTGTATGATGGAAATTAACTCAAAAAACAAAACTTTAGAAACATAACCTTTCAGAAGACACCTGACTTGTAAAGGGAGATAACTAGTATAAAACATGTACATAATGACATGCCAGGGTTGTCTCTCTTCTAATAAACTGCATTAATGAAATACGAGATTTCGTATTATAATGCTTATTATTCAGCTTAATTTTCCAGCATAATGCCACTTCAGGAAAATTGATTAAGTATGGTGGCTGATTTGGTACGCTTTTAAGTGTCCAGTTGGCGCTAGCGACAACACGACAAAGCGCCAAAAGGCGCGTTGTGGGACTTTCGTCTTGTCCTGTCGCTAGCGACAGCACGACAAAGCGCCAAACTGCGCGTTGTCGCGCTGTCGTCTTGTCTCTACCGCGGCACGCAAAACGGCGCGTTGTCATGCGGCGTGTTGTCGCGATGTCGACCTGTCGCTTGGCTTAAAAGTCAATCCTTCAATTTGGATTGGGCGACATGAATGTGACATCTCGACAACACGCCGCACGACAACGCGCTAGACACAATACGACAAAACGACAGCGCGACAACGCGCCGTCTGGCGCTTTGTCATGTTGTCGCTAGCGCTAACACGACGCACAAAAGCGTTCCAAATCAGCCACCATAGTTGAGTGCTGTATCTATATGTTTATATGAAGATTATTAATTAGTATTTGTTTTCATTCATTTTAGGTAATTGCAGTGCTATATTTTATCGTCACAATGAAGATCGCTTTTTTCCATGGAAATCACACATCAGCTGTCAATATTGTGTTTGTAAAGAAAAACAACTCATGTAATCAACCATGTGTAAACCCCGTCTCAAAAAAACAATCATATGCAGAAAATATGTTGAACAAAGATCGGCGTGTATTAAAAGCGGAATCATTGGAGGCTATTACTGTTTTAAATAAAAACCAATGTAAAAATAGAAACTTCCTTGTTTACCGGTGCGATTCTTCTTTTGCTTGTGGCGGCTGGGCTGATCGGCAGAAGGGCATAGTGTCATCTTTTCTTATGGCTCGTTTGACAAAGCGTGTGTTTGTGATCGATATGGTACAGCCTTGCAACCTAGATCAGTTTATACTGCCTAACATATACGACTGGTCAATATGTAAATCTTATATCAAATCTGTTCCTCATAACTTAACAAGAACATTTAATCACATTGAAGACTACAAATTTGCAAAAGTTGTTGAGCATTTTGACTTTCAAAGAATTTGGACAAAGCATGTAATTTTCATACGATTTCATACACATGTGATCGATGGATTAAAAAATCACACCCTGGCTAAATCAAGATTAAAATGGCTTTTGAACATGACTAACGAAGAGGCCATACATTTAGTACTTAATACATTATTCAAGCCAAATGAATGGATTTTAAATGATACAATTGAATTTTATACTAATCGAATTAGAATGAAAAAATTAGTTTGTTGTCACATCCGCACAGGTAAAAATCCAAACATGCCCACAGACCTAACCCCGCGTTTCGGACGTCCTAATGAAACGGTGCTATTTGACTTTTTGAAAAAATATGACAACAACTGGGATTATTTCATTTATGTGGCTTCAGATTCGGACAAAGTGAAACAAAGTGCTCAAAATAACCTCACTTCTTACGTCAACATAAACCGACCTATAGTTCACGTTGACAGACTCGGACCATTTGGAAAGTTAAAAGAAGAAGCATGCAAAGGACTGTATACAGTTATTTTGGAGCAATTTATTCTATCACTATGTGACGAAATTATCCTAACAAGGAGTGGATTTGGTGTTATGGCCGCCTATATGAGAGGCGACACTAAAGGTCTTTTCATGTATCATCCGATAGAGAAGCGAATTGTTGCTACTAACCTTACAAATATTCAAAAAGTTTTCGCTTTTTTGTAACACACGTGACTCGAACCCGGGACCCTCGGAATACCGTTCTGCGGCTCTACCGACTGAGCTATCCGGCCGCTTACACATCTTCTCCCCTGTTAAGTAAACAGTTCTGAACCGTGACATACTCTCCTGCTATATTGAAATTCGTCCTCGAATTTCACAGAGTAATAGAGCAATGTGAATTAAACTCTGAGCTATATCAGTCACGGTCCCCGTTGGGCGCCAAATGTCACAGTCCACTCTAACGATATGGGAAAGGTGCTGCTAAGAGGTTCAGGGCTTGAGGGTTGCTATAAAATACAGTAATACGTTCTCAGAAAATATTTATTATCAATGAATTTGAAGTCTGGCTCGCGCCATGAAAATCTTCAGTAGGAGTGCGCATGCGTGAAGGTACTAAGTGAGGAAATAGAATATTTAGGATTGAGGTCCTTACCAATGGTTACTACATACTTGTTAATAAATGAATTAATGAAGAAATGAATGAATGAGTAAATGAATAAAATGATTGAATCTGAACATCACGATATAAATCTGCAGAAAAAAAACAAAATGAAAAATATAATTCCTTTCCAGTACATGTACGCATGCCCGTTATATTCTGATCAAAATACTGAACATTTGTGCTCACAAACTACATAACACATAGCGTAAAAATGTGTTCTTCTTTATTTAGAGCCTTCAGATAACATAGTGTTCGCGATGACGTGAGCAGTCTGATAAAAAGAATAATGGCCGCCGTTCGCAAACAATTAATGCGGTATAACCGTGAGAAATACATTATATTATTATTTCCTATCAACTGTTCTATCTATATAACGAACGATTCTAAAAGCAAACTCTCTAAATATTTATAAATTCATTGGTCAGCTTCCATTAACTAAATTATTATTTATATTCTTTGAAATTATCTCCCGCTTGCCGCGTACAGCACTTCCAGTGCTTCCAGTCCTTTGATTTGATTTTTTTATGTGTATTTAAGTATAATTATTTGCACTAGAGCTTTTTATATTTGTGCAGTTTATTGGATGCATGAATGACAAATTATGAATGTAGGTTACGGGGACAGAAAATATTAACCTACTTCTAAATATCCCGTAAACATTTTATAGTTTAACTATAAAGATCTGCCACGGATCCGTGCTTCTATGGGACGCAATACCTTTGATTTGCGTGAATTATATAACTTAAAAAATGTGTGTGTACATTGTACAACTGTTTTGTATAGGATATTGGCCGACTGTGAAGTACAAAGGACCAGTGTTAACGTGGTGATTTTAGATGAAGTCTATACAATTACAACTGTATAACATTTCAATTAAAGCAGCATGTCTAAAAATTCATGCTTATTTTCCTAAAAAAAAACTAAAATGTATTGAAAAGTATAATATTTTGAAGTGAATAAAGAACGTTGTTTAAACATTGCAACAGACTTCACTTACAATCCACGTTAATTGTCCAAAACGTGCAAAAAAATAACCCTTATTGCGTTAGTCACGCAGTAGAAATATAGTGATAAAATGATGCAAAATTAGCACAAAGCATGCAAATTATTACTTGAATTTTGATTTTTTTACTTTTAATAAAAGTCTTTTCAAGTTTGATTTCCTTGACTTTTTTTGACTTATTTGAGGCATGCAGCTTTAGTACTTATTTCAGTTACAACTGTATCAAATAATTATACGAATGTCTGGTAGGGACATTTCTACTTCATGAATTCCCAATTTCATTTTCATGAATTCTGAATTTTAACTTCGTGAATTCACGTGTTCAAAATACGGAGTTCACAAAGTCATCATTTCAGCTTCATGAATTCCCGATTTCAACTTCACGAATTCCCTATCTCAACTTCACGAATTCACCATTTCACATGATAATGAAATCGTGAATTCGTGAAGTTGAAATTGTAATTCGTGAAGTTGAAATCGGGAATTCATGATTTCAAGTTGAAATCCGGAATTCATGAAATGTCCCACCGGTTTTTTCGCACAATCATTATAAAAAGGCCTTAGTTGCATGTCAATTGTTTCACAAACATTATATGGTATAGTTGTTATTATACATGTAATACACATTTACAGTTTGTAAACATCGGAATGATGATAATGGGGGGGGGGGGGGGGGGGGGGGGGGGGGGGGGGGGGGGGGGGGGGGGGGGGGGGGGGGGGGGGGGGGGGGGGGGGGGGAAATGTGTTATTTACAAAATGAGAATATTCCAGGTTTTTTTCTATAAATACAGGAATGAAATAAATATTTCAATAGTGGAGGAGGCAATTATTGTATACATTTTTCTCTTTTTAGACTTGACAATTTGTAAGACTTCTTAAATATTGTGTATTGGCTGAATTTAGAAGAGAGTAGTCCGGCAAGACACCAGGGAAAATACGGAAAATATGTTTCACTGCAGTGAAAAATAAATATTTAAGTGCAAATACGAAAAATGAAAATACACATTTTATTTCACCAAATATCTCGAAATATATAATAAAATAATGATATGTTAAAGCTGGCTAAAATAAATGATAAAAATGGAGTACAAATATGTGTACAAAATTATTGTGAAAATAAAAAAAGCAACTATAGTGTGCATATTTGTATAAAAGGAGAAACAAAAGAGCGCCAACGAGGTTTCAGGAAATACATTGCTACATATAACAACAGTTGTATAATATTTAAGTAATATAAGATATCTACGAATTTTATGGGTTTTATTTGTTGTTTTTTTCCAAAATAAATTGAATACTTATCGGGTGTATATAATGATAAATGAGTAAACTCGTAATAAACATAAACTTTCTTTTTTAATGAAGAATGCATTGCTTTTTTGTAGAATTATATTCACCAAAAAAGCTTTTATTTAAACTGGACAGGCTTCCCGTTATTTGCAGAAACACAGTGCATATCCAGTGACGCAGGAATGTGTAATTAACGTAAAAGTAACGCAGAATCTGTGCAACGCTCAAGCCAAAAAGAATAACACAGTAAGTAAACAAACAAAAATATTTTATGCTAAATCAAATTAAAAGAAATAAATTAGCGCATACGGCTGCTACGACACAATTCTTTAACCAGCATTACAATTTCTTTCAGGAATATTTTTAATTCTTCAAATCATTCGTGAGAAAGACAACCTGATTACAGTTTTGAACGTGACTTTTGTGTTTCGTCAAATAAAAATTTGCATTTAACACATTTAAAACATTTTTTTACGTATTCTGTTTACCTAAAACATTTTTCAAACTAAAAGTGTCGTATAACAATAGATGGAAGCTTGTAAATAGGATTTAGCTACTTTTATTTTTATTAAGATAGCCGCCGTCGCTTCAGTGCTCAATTCACGAATTCGGCGTTACTTCGTAAAAATGGTCTCAATTTCGATTTTCCTTCAAAATTAAGTGTTATATGATACGAGTAGATCGGAAAATTTCACAGGTACACCGCATATAAAAAAACATGAAGTAATATGTACCTTATTGTATTTAAAGATATCGACGAAACTATAAATAGCCATCAATACGCTAGTCGTGTCGTCATTTTCACGAATGATCTTGAAAAATAAACATTTTCATGGAAATATTTTTTTTCATGAAGTTTAAACTATAATGTCTCAGCAACCGTATGCGCTAACATATTTCTTCTAATTTGGTGAATATTAAAAACAATATTGGTCCATTTACTTATCGCGGTGTTCGTTTTAGCCACTAAATGCACAATTTTGCGTTACTTTTGCACATTCCTGCGTTACTGGATATACACGGTGAGAAATGTAAATCGACATTTTAATGACCATTCTATTGAATCATTTGACATATTTTAGTTTGTACTGGTTGGGTTTTACGTCGTACAAACAGAGTAAAGGTCACATGGCGATTTTCCGTCTATATAAGTGGAGGAAGACCTCTGGCCCTGTTTTCACAAAGAAAAGATCAGGATCAGAATCAAGTGATCCTGGTTTTATTTTCATTGTTTAATCTTAATTAAATTAATATCACAATATTAACTTTATAATTTTCTCATGTTTGGATTATCATTTTAATATATCATAATGATAATTAGAAAGAAATTACAAAATAACATGATTCAACATAAATGCAGAATACAAAAAAGTACTATCTAATCGTCAATCGCAATTGTAAAGTATTCGCTATTCATCTGTAGGTGTATGCTAAAACGCAAACCAAGCGGTATTGAGCTAGAATACCGCATTGAGTTGTATACAAAAGAAGATATTTCAATGTACGTTGTCGTTCTTTTGTCTGCATGCTACAGGTGGATGTCTTACACGTTCTGTGCACTGACGATATTATAAGTATGAAATTGACTGTTAATACCTCTAGCCAATATTACATTGTGTTAAAGCTTTCCTGTATTATGTTATTTGTCAAATGTCTGACAAATAGTAGATCAGACTATTTCTTCCCTCTTATAGGTAATAGGCGATTCAGAAGTAAATCTTCATTCGCTATGTCTATATTTGAATCCGTATTTGCAAGAATACAGAATTTCGTATTTTAGTAATATACGAATTTGTTATAAAAATTCCGTATATCAGTAAAATACGGACTTCGTATATCAAAGTTCCCGTATATTACGAGTGTACAGATCACCGTTTATTAGTCACATACGGACTGACATAATATACGGTCCCGTACATCTCTGTTTTCTTATTCGTATTCTTATATTTATGATATATTCAGTACACTTCCGTATATCCATATCTTTTTCGCAGTGTTTTACTATGATATTTGAATTATTTTGTGGATCTGTTTCTATATCTTTCACTCTTTCAAGCTTTTCAAGTACACTATAAAGTTTGAGTCTGGTCTAGCATGTAGTAAACGTAGCTAAGTATATTCGTTCTGTTTTCTTTGGGTTGTCTCGTTTATATTGCCATTCTATTTGTATCAGGTCATTAGTAAGTTTGTGAAAAATCAAAGGTTCTTTCTTTGGATCGGCAAACAACTGGACGTAGAAGTTGGCCTGTAGTTCGTGAAAGAACTCTGTATGCCGCATATTGAGTCTCTGACCAAACTTGAAACATAATTTAGCAACAACTCTTAAACCTGGGTCCTTCGAGATGTTTGCCCGATCCAAATAAACTCACTCTTTCTGTAAGTATTGAGACACGTAGTTTGTCATATCTTGCCCTTTGCGTATTCAGTCAGGAGAAACGATTGCCTCTTGCTTAGATTTTAAAAATGTGTTCATGTAATTTGCAAACCGTCCCCTGATCTGGTTTTTGGGTCATATTGTGTGGATTCCTCACAGTGTTACACTTTTAAATCTTTTCAATTTGATACCATAATTTAATGGCCTTTTGAATATCCGGAGTGCAAACCTACCAGTGAACTCTCTTTCTTGTTCTGAACATCAGCATGTGTTTTTTTTATTCTCAAAATCGGCGCAGGTCCTTCATAGGGGAAATTTCAACTTGTAATTTGAGCGGAATGGTAGTACAGGATTGTATAATCCTCTAGTGGGTAATATTTTGACGTTAACTATACCGAAATAGTCCTGAATGTCATTAAAGTATTTTATTATGATAGTGGTGTGACCTTCGGGATATTGACATTGACAATACTTATTTACCCATGAATACAAGCTCGTGAAATTTACGTACTTGATTTCTCCTGTTCTTCCACTTTGTAATATAGTGACTAGCATTGGTGCGATCCCGAAGAAACTCCCTCGAGTGTAACCTATCAATTATATCTAAGCTTTCTAACAATGGTGTCACCTTAGTATTTTGAATCTTTTTTCAGTCCCCGCACAACAAAGTTGTAAGGGGGTATACTGGAATCAGCTTGTCCGTCCGGACGTCCGTCTTTCCGGCCGTCCGGACGTCTGGCCGTCTGTCGATTTTTCCTTGTCCGACCAATAACTTAAGATTCCATTGACCCACAGTCTTCATATTTGGCATGGAGGTTAGTCATGACTAGTAGATGACCCCTATTGATTTTGAGGTCACTGGGTCAAAGGTCAAGGTCAGAGGGGCCTTGACTATAAAAAGCTTGTCCGCCCAACAACTTAAGAAACCTTTGACCCACAATCTCATATTTGACATGGAGGTTGATCATGACCATTAGGAGACCTCTATCAATTTTGAGGTCACTGGGTCAAAGGATAAGGTCACAGGGGCATTGACAATTAAAAGCTTGCCGCCAAATAACTTAAGATTCTTTTGACCCAAAGTATTCATATATTGGATGGAGGTTGATCATGACCATTAGGTGACCCCTTTTGATTTTCAGGTCACTGGGTCATAGGTCTAGGTCACAGAGTCCTTGAAAATAAAAAGCTTGTCCTCCCAATAACTTTAGATTCTTTTTACCCACAGTATTCATATTTAGGATGAAGTTTGATCATGCCCATAAGGTGTTCAATATTGATTTTGAGGTCACTGGGTCAAAGGTCAAGATCACAGGGGCATTGACCATAAAAAGCTCCGCCTTATAATTTAAGAATCCTACAGTCTTCATTTTTAGCATGGAGGTTAGTCATGATAAGTAGATGACCCCTATTGATTATGAGTTCACTTGGCCAAAGGCCAAGGTCACAGGAGCCTTGACTATAAAAAGCTTGTCCGCCAAATAACTTAAGA